TTTTGTCAATCAGAATATGTCCTCTCCGATTTGCCCAACCATTTGTTGGGCGCGATACCCGTCCACCTACATAGGTGTTCGGGTGACTTTTTTCAAGGTCCTCGGGGACGGGACGGAAGTCTAAGCAGTTAGATAACTACACATACGGAGTACCTAACTAATTAGTTATCTCGGATCGGTGGATCGGTAAACTAGATGGGGATCGACGAGCCTCCGTCCAGCCTCGAGATCGCCCATGGAGAAATCATGGCTATGCTTTTTTTTCATCTTCCCCCGCCAGCAGCTGTAGAGGTGAGTAAGAAAAGGTGAGGAAGATGAACACTCCTCGACTGTTTTATATTGCCTTCAAATACATAACGGCTAACTAAGCGCTTTCCTTCAATCACACATGTCGCAAGCAATCCATAGTTAACAGCCTCTATGAACAGTTCAATAGCATGTGGCTCTAGGCTCTTGCCCCAAGTTATAACTAGTTGGTTCTAACCACCAGAGCGGAGTATTTACACTTTGCTTTTTTTCTTTTCTGTGGAATGATCAAAAAAAGAATGGGACTTCAACGGCTTTAGCGCTAGCTCTGGCCATACATAGCGTGAGTTGCTATATATATATATATCTATCACAGCATATCTATACGTTGATAGGCATAGAAGCCGCAGATCGCCAAGATACTTACTATGAATCGTCTGTCCATTTCCAGATCTGGTCTATGTCAGATCACGCACCCAAGAGCAAGGCATTGGCAGCATACTTTCATTACAATCTAAGGTCCCCATGGCTATGTGTTATTTGTTATGGATCGGCTAAAGTCAGGCTGCTCGCGCAAGTACGGTGGAATCTTCAGTTGCTTTGCTGTGATAACTATTCAATATGCCACGATTCTTGGCTGCTCTTAGATCTACAAAAACACGTCCAAGAAAAGATATACCGAAGAGTAACCGGTCGGTAGGCATGCTTTTGGCGTAGTTATGATCTTGTGGATATCTGTAGAGACCCTTTGTAGCCGGCATTTCCACTTGAGGGCTGCCTGATGTAATGAGAAGCATTCCACTCGATCTGCCTTGGGGGGATAGATAGCATGGCGGCCTTAATATAGCATTTTATATCAATATAGTGAAAGGGATATTTAAAGCCAGCCAGACAACCCACGGTCTTCATCCACCTGTCAAGTCAAATTGTCACATCCTCTGAGAATTTCTATTTGCCCTCAACTCACTGTTGAGACATGGTCTCTCTCCTCCGTCTTTGCAGCTTCCTCCTGGCTGCTGGTTCCACACTTGTTCAGGGTTCACCCATCATTGCTCCCTCTATACCACCATGCGAACCTCCAAGTAACTTCACCGGGCCTAGTAACTTCACAAGCAAGCCTGGAAACGGAGCATCCCCATTCTGGCTCATCGCACATCGCGTGCTGACCAAGGATGGCGTTAAAGCTGCCCTGGGCCATGGAGCCAACGCTCTCGAAATGGACATAACGGGGTGGTGGTCTGGATGGTTCGGCGATCACGATGGACTACTCACGAGCGCAGGTGATACGGTATCGGATTGGTTCGATGAAATTGCGTCTCGACGCACTCAGGGAGACCCAGTGAGCTTTGTATGGCTGGACCTAAAGAATCCCGACTTCAACAAGAATGGAGTGAACATCGTTTCCCTGATGATTCTCTGCCGAGAGAAACTTGAAAAGGTTGGAGTGAGAGTTCTGTATGGGTTTTACTCCTCCCAAACAAACGGCCCTTCCTTCAAATTTGTCAAACAGGTAATGAACGAGAATGAGGCCATTGGTATTGACGGCAAATTCGAGACTGTTGAAAAGGATTTCGAGGAAAAGGGTATCCCGCTCCAGAAGCGCGTTTTCTCTTCAGGCCTTTTTAATCCAGATTTCAATTTCGGCAATTGTGAAGTACACAGCAGTGGGGTTTGCGCACAACTTCGCGAAGGCAAGGAATCACACGAATTCAGCAAAGTTTTTGGTTGGACGGTTTCATCATATACCAGGAAGGATCATGTTTACAAGATGATGGAAGTCGGTGTTGATGGCCTTATCTATGGGTTTGTTGCTTCCCATTATTACGACCACGCGGATATCCGTCACACACTCAGCACTATTCGGGGATGGCTTGAAGAGCATAAGGATACGCACCGCCTTGCCACTGTTGATGACAACCCTTGGAGCAGCATGTCGAAAAAAGGGAGCAGAAAAAGTTCATGGGTAAAGGGCGAGGTCCCATCAATAGCTCACTGACAACCTTGGGTGTCGATTTATGGAAATGAAATGACGATGATTGGTCATGAATGAATGGATGTACATAAAAATCAATTATTATTGGTGAAGAAGATGAGCTTGCTAGGGGAGGATCTGATGGTATTGAGGTCGAGAACCGACCAGTTAATCTCTATGCATGTGACAAGTTACCCGCACTTTACCAACTATAGTTAGTTAGTCATCACCTCTAATCATACAATAGCCGAAAGAAGTAATAAATACCTATATTATAGATCATTTGACTCCCTCGCTCTCCTGATCCAAAAGTACATTAGAGTTCCTTCACGGGCAGAAGATACTTTGGGTACACTTCGTTGCGCACAGAGAGACGCCAGAGGGCAGCTAGGCGCTTGGACCAATCCCTTGCTTAGAGTTAACGGGCAAAACTCAAATATCATTGTTTATTTTGTCGACAGAGAAGGGACAACACGGCGACAACACAACAGGATCCAAGGAATATGACTGTCGAAGCGCTCTATTATAATTCTACGAGCATGAGGCTATTCTATCTATGCTAGTGGTGAAACCAGAGACAATCAACCAAGCTACTGCTTTTCCTCTGCCTTCTGCTTGAACTGGACCATAAGCTCATCGACATTCGGCACCTTGGCAATGAAGGCCTTAATGGCGGGCCTCTCGTTGCAACGCTCCCACCATGCCTTGAGAGCGGGTCTGGAAGTGATCACATCACCCTGTCCGCGCTCGAACATCCGAGCTAGCGGAACGATATAGTTAATATCGACAAGCGTGAACTTGTCACCGGCCCAGAACTTCTTCCCGGTCTTGGAGAAGATCGACTCGGCAACGTCAAGGTACTCGCTGAGGGCCTTTCTGTTCTTTTCCAGGGAGGCAGGATCGGCCTCCAAGCCTAGCAATGGCTTGAAAGCTGTCTCGAAGAGGACGGTCGAGACGGGAGTGTCGAAGCAGGCGGTTTCACAGGCATGTTCCTGCTCGAAGAGGGCGACTGCAGCGTTGTCGTTGGGGTTGGGCAGGAGGTCGAACTTGTAGCGGCTGCAGAGGTAGCGGGCTATGCCGCGGGACTCGTACATGGTGATGCCATCTGAGGTGACGATGGTAGGTACCTTGCCGAAGGGATTGCGGGCGAGGTATTCGGGGGTCTAACGAGCTGTTAGTTTATACCTACACCAGTGATTGAATGTAGTGTCGTGTAGGCCTACCTTCTGCTCCTTGTTGGGAATGTCAACGGTGATGCGCTCGTAGTCTGTGAAGCCGGCCTCGTCGATGGCGAGCTGGACACGGTCTGGTGCCGTGGCGATGGGGTGGGCGTAGAGGGTGAATTGAGGCATATCGGATGGTATACGTTCGTATATTTTTGAAGATACTGATATTGATGTCGTTGTTGATGTTATTGTTACTGCTGATGATGGTGATGATAATGCTAACTATGGCAGAGGAGGTGCTTCTTTATATACCTCTCTGCCCCCCGCAATACTACATGGTGTATACTTGTCCTGTACTCCGTCCTGTTCAATAACACGTCCATCTATGCCCAAAGACGGACAGCAAGTTCGCCCGTGTCGGGGCAGCTCTTCAGCCCGTCCGCTTTGAAGATAGGTTCATCCTTCAGCTCGTCCGAAGAAATGTTCCGTCTCGACCTCAACTAGCCAGGGGTACAGCCCTGCCAGTCATCCTTCATCCGCTCTGGCTTACCAATCTTTACTCCCGAAGCCGACTCAATCTAGGCAGCAACATATATATTCTCATCTCAAGACAAAACAAATATACAAAAGCAGAGGTTGATGATGATAAGGCAAAAAGAACCAAAAAAAAGTCAACTGTCAAATGTCCTCCCCGCGACCCGCACGCCGACGTGATCTGGTGCCGCCATCCCCGAGTGGAAGGCCTCTGCAGAATTGCTTCCCTCAAGCGTCTCTTCCATGTCTTAGCGCGCCGCAGCCGTTCGTGGATTACTCAGCACGAGTGCGGGAGAACTTTCACTCCGAAGAATAAAAGTCGCGACTCGAGGATTCGAACCAGGCGTCAAAGGTCGTGGTCACGTGAAGTGGATCGGGGCGCAGACGAGGGCGCGACAGTTTCCCTTCGGCCATTACAGCTATAAGAGGATGAAGCGCCAGTCAGCGGTAGAAGAGTAGATGGGAAATTAGTCAGCTTATCTAACCACCTTAGTCAGCATGGCGGGGCAACCGAGGAGCTCAATCTTTAGCGTAGTTAGGGATCTTATCTGATGCCTGCACCGCACAGGAGCTACTTACACGTACGTGGATGGAGCATGCCTCCTGTCAGACTGTCAGGCTGTCAGGCATCTTGAAGAACTCCCTCTGACATTTATTGTAGTCTTCATGAAAAAGACAGGTAAGACAGGAAAAGGGCATCTTCAAACCTAGGGCAAACAAGTAGAAAAAGGTAAATAAGCATGGGTCTTGTTCGGCTAACTGACAGTGCTCCATAAGTAGTGTGTTTAGTGCCATCGTAGCCCTATCGCTGTGATGCTCGAATGACACTGATGGGACTGTCCTTGGGGGCTTCTTTCTGGCCACGCACATATAACCTACTGCCATTGACAGACCAGACCCATGTTCAAAATAAAGACACCCATGAAAGACGCAATCCATGGGGAGATCCATGGTGACGCCCGCGGGTGGCCGCAGGATCGCCGGCTAAGAGATGCTGCTGACATATCGCCCATCTCACGCCCAGCGCTAGGCTGCGAAGTACCTGGAGGAAAGCCGAGTCGGCGAGAGCGACGCCGAGCGAGATGCCGAACCAGCAGCTAACTCGCGCCGTTGCCGCCGGGAGCTGGATCTCTGACTATCTCTCTGACTATCTCTCTGACCATCGCCAACAGGCCGGTGCTCGAGATTGGTCAGGTTCTCCTGCTTGGTTATCGGCCGGGTTTCAGGCGGTTTCACGGACAGGAGGGCAGGAGGACAAGGAGAGGGACAAGGAGAAGGACAGGGAGAAGGACAGGGACATGGAGGGAGGACATGAAGGAGGGGGACGGACAGCGAAGACGACCTCTCTTTCTCTCTCTCTCACTCTCTCTCATACCAAGCGAGCCATACAGAGCGACGGAGGGCCATGCAGAGCCATGCAGAGCTATGCACAGCTATGCAGGACGATGGCCGGGCGATGGAGGGGGAATGGGAAGGTACATGCGGGGCCCGCGGTGCTTTGGCTGGGCCGCGAGGTACCCTGCCACGCCCGCTCCATGGCTCCTCCACGGCGCTGCATGGCCCAGCATGGCCCAGCATTCCCGCGCATACCTCGCCCTGGTTAACACTAAGTAGGCCGACGCCCGGGCATCAAGAGCCAGCGACGATGGGCTTATAACACCGCCGACCCCACTTTCTACCTCCCTCCGCCTCCACCTCCGTCTTCCTCTTCTTCTCGCCCTCTTCTTCTTTTTCCCTTCTTCTTCTTCTCAACTTCACCTTAACAACCATCTCACTCTCATCATCATCAGCAGCAGCAGCAACCATGGCCCTTACACAGAAGATCGAGACGCCCACCGCCACCTTTGAGCAGCCGCTCGGCCTGTAAGTTTCATGGTCATGGTCATTTTGAGAGCTTGTTTTGTATTTACTGACAGCTGGACAGGTTCATCAACAACAAGTTCGTCAAGGGCACCGAGGGCAAGACCTTCGAGACCATCAACCCTCACAATGAAAAAGTCATCTGTGCCGTCCATGAAGCTACTGAGAAGGACGTCGACCTCGCAGTTGCGGCTGCCCGCGCTGCCGTCGAGGGTCCCTGGAGAAAGGTCACCCCCAGTGATAGGGGCCGCATGCTGACCAAGCTCGCCGACCTGCTCGAGCGGGATATCGAGACCATTGCCGCCATCGAGGCCCTCGACAACGGCAAGGCCCTCTCCATGGCCAAGGCAGACGTCACCAACGCTGCCGGGTGCCTCAGATACTACGGCGGCTGGGCCGACAAGGTCGAGGGCAAAGTCATCGACACCGACCACGAGACCTTCACCTATACCCGCCACGAGCCCGTCGGTGTCTGCGGCCAGATCATCCCCTGGAACTTCCCCTTGCTCATGTTTGCCTGGAAGATCGGCCCGGCCCTGGCCACCGGTAACTCCATCGTCATGAAGACCGCCGAGCAGACCCCTCTCAGCGGTCTCTACGTCGGCAACCTCATCGTCGAGGCTGGTTTCCCCGCTGGTGTTGTCAACGTCATCTCTGGCTTCGGTCGTGTTGCCGGTGCCGCCATCTCCTCCCACATGGACATCGACAAGGTTGCCTTCACCGGCTCCACCGTCGTTGGCCGCCAGATCCTCCAGGCCGCCGCCAAGTCTAACCTCAAGAAGGTCACCCTCGAGCTCGGTGGAAAGAGCCCCAACATCGTCTTCAACGACGCCGACATTGACAATGCCATCAGCTGGGTCAACTTCGGTATCTACTACAACCACGGCCAGTGCTGCTGTGCCGGTTCCCGTATCCTCGTCCAGGAGGGCATCTACGACAAGTTCCTTGCTCGCTTCAAGGAGCGTGCCAACCAGAACAAGGTCGGCGACCCATTCAAGCCAGACACCTTCCAGGGCCCCCAGATCTCTCAGCTTCAGTTCGACCGTATCATGGGCTATATCGAAGACGGCAAGAAGGCCGGTGCCAAGGTCGAGGTTGGTGGTGAGCGTCACGGAAACGAGGGCTACTACATCCAGCCAACCATCTTCAGTGAATGTACCGATGACATGAAGATCGTCAAGGAGGAGATCTTCGGACCCGTCTGCACTGTCCAGAAGTTCTCTACCGAAGAGGATGCCATTCGCATTGCCAACAACTCTTCCTACGGCCTCGCTGCCGCCCTCCACACCAAGGACCTCAACACCTCCATCCGTGTCTCCAACGCCCTCAAGGCCGGGTAAGTTTCGGTTCTTCTCATTATTGTCTAGGCAGAAACATGCTAACAATTCGTAGAACCGTCTGGGTCAACTGCTACAACCTCATCTCCTACCAGTCTCCCTTCGGTGGATTCAAGGAGAGTGGTATTGGCCGTGAGTTGGGAGGTACGTAGTTTTTATCAACTTTTCCCACCCCCTTGCGTTAGCCCAAAGTATAATTATTAACTTCCGTCTAGAATACGCCCTCGACAACTACACCCAGATCAAGACCGTGCGCATCCGTCTTGGTGACGCCATGTTCGGTTAAACGGAAGAGTAAGTAGACGTATGCTAAATTGTCATGCCGTGTATACGACCAGGTACTGGGGTTTTTTTATTCAAAAAAGAATTAGCCAAAATGCAATGAAATGAATCAAAAATGAATCATCTTCACCCCATGCACAATGTCCTTTTTGGCCATTATTTAATTAAATAAACTCAGTAAAACCCGTCCCCCCCTCCGGCAGCAAATGCATGCAAGCATCTAACCCTTTAGCACGGACCACGCACACACACAGACACACATACCCTAGATAGATTCATGATATGTTTTGCTCATATACTCGTAAAAGAAGCAGAAGGGGAAAAACAGATCAAACGCCAGCCCATGCCCAACACCCGCCTACTCGGCAGGCCGAAGTCGAATAGAGGTTAAAAAGGTTTATAGCTAGTTCAAGGCGAAAGAACACTTAAAGGAAGTACTCTGCTTTCTGCGGCCGGGAGGCAGGAACATGTCTCATCTCCGCGGGCACGGCAGCAAAGAGCTTGAAGACCGGCTTGAGGTCTTCTCGCACCTCACATACACTCGCCATGTTGGCGCAGCGGTAGCAGTAGTTCGGTGCACTCCAGACCGTGACCATGGCCTGGCTGTCAAAGTGGTATTTGTATCCTTCGTTGACAAGCTGATGAGCTCGGGCAATCAGATTAAGGTCGTTCACAGCGCAGAACTCGTCGGCTACTCGGCTACCAAATAACCAGCCTAGGTGGGAACATTAGTTAGCAAACCCCTCTCCTTTGGACAAAACGACATGTAAGCAGTCAAGGAAAGGTCAATCTTACCAGCTCCACGAGGACTGACGGCCCATGTTAGATCCTCCGTCTCATCTGGATCAGACCAGACAAGATCACAGAACGCACCCTCATGCGGAATCTCCTGCGCCCTCGCCACGATACGCACCTGGTCCAGCGTTCGAATCTCCGGGCTCAGCCCGCCGTGTAAACACAACACCTTGCCATCAACGATAACGCCCAAAGTCATAAAGTCAAACACCTGACAACATGCCTTCCATACCGATGCATTGCCGTATTTCTGCACACATTCGTCATAAAAGCCGTACACCTGCGTGGTCTGCCTCGACTCATGATTCCCCCGCACGAGAGTGATTTTATTCGGATACCGCGCTTTCAAACAGAGCAGTAACGTCAGCGTTTCCAGGCTGAAATACCCTCTATCCACATAGTCGCCTAGGAAGATGAAGTTGCCGATGGGAGAAGCGCTCTTGTCTTCTTCCCCGGTCTCATCATCTCCTTTCGACTCTGTTGCTTGGCCGCCCGTCTCTTCGTCGCCATCATCCTCAATTACAGAGTTGGGCGGTGAACTCTTCCGTAGTCTTCGCTTCAACTTCGGATCTGTGATGGTTGACGGGGGCTCGATGTCTTCGGATGTTATTATCGGCGCTTGGGTGGAAGGGGCGGCAGGACGAGTGTCACCGGGCATCCCACCAGCTACGCGGAAAAGCTCGAGTAAGTCGTAGAACTGGCCGTGTATGTCACCACATATCGTCACCGGAGTGGACACCGGTTGAATGTTGGATTCTGACTAGTTAGCTGGGCGATCAACTTTGATGGAATTTCATGTGGGCATGTGTATGTATGTGGGTGTTGCTGATGGGCACGGTGGCATACCCTCCATCATGTATTCCTTGACCAGCTCACATAACTGCTTCATGTGGTGTTCCGACAAGTACTTGCAGTTTTTCGCTGCCTCTAGCCACTCGTCTGGGCCGGCATTGGGCTTCAGTCGCGCCGGGCCAGGCTGGGGGACTGACGGGTCGACCATCGTGGGGACTCAACCACAGAGAGGCACAACAGTCATCGACGTGGCAGTTCAGCTGCTCGGGATGGCTGTCCTGTCTTATCTCGTATCTCGTCGCTCTTCGTCTGCCGAAAAGGCCCGTAGGGGGCTCCGCGCTTCTTGCTTCGTTGCTGCTGCTGACGTCGACCTCGCCGCCGTCTCTGCCTGGTTCGTTCTTCGGTGCTTGTCGTTGGTCTTCCAATAATCCTCGTCTTTTCGCCCGCCTCCGTCGTTTTCTCTGACGTTGTGCTTAGTCATCGCTTTCCCTTCGCCCGTTTTTCTAGAAGAACTTTAATATTAAGCGTAATTTTTAGCTTTTTTTTTCTCTTTCTGATTTTCCAACGACATCAAGCGAAGGCTGAACGATATACTTAGAGAGAGAGACTGACAAAGGAGCAGATCAACGGCGTATCGGGGTCAGCCATGCTCGTGAGGCTGTTTACTCGTGTTCGGAGGAAACGTTCCCTCCCCCTAGTCCTTAATGCTAGCGACATATAAGCGTCGTCTCGTGGCAGGCCTCGCGTTTTCTGGTGCTGGGGTGGCAAGCCCTTGTTACAGGCCGGCGGGGGCATTTTTCTTCATCGATTTTCTTCTGGTCGCCGGTGGCTGAACTAGAGTGTGCGTCTAGTGAAGGGAGCCCCAGTCGCATAAACGTTCAGCCCACCCGACGAGAGGCAACCCCGGCGGACAAGAAAAAAAAAACGTGGTTCTACTCCATGCAAGCCCCCAGCCTTGCGACGTCAGTATCACCAACCCAACTAGTCCAGGAAACCGGCCTCTCTTCCTATCACCACTCCCTCCATGCATCGTGATACAAGTATCCACCTCCGATCCTTGAAAGGGAGGGAAGGACATGTACATGCATCTGATATATGGAGTGCCAGCCCGCGAGAAAGAGGGAGGTGGAAAAAAAAAAGGGGATGGGGAAAAAATAGGTACTCGTGAACTGCGACACCCGAATGTCAAACTCGCTCCACTTCTCTACTTAGACAAGCGCCGAGAGTCGAGTCGCTTCTGATTTTTATGTCATCTTTGCGGTGTGGATTCAATGATAATATTCTGGAATTGAATTTTGGGATCTTTTTCTTCCCTCTTCGTCCATCGCATTATGATGCGTTTTTGTCTCGTTGTCTCTCTTGCTTGTGGACGGCTGCAGCCATGGTGTCTAACTCACAGTGCCAGTTTTTGACCTGGGTTCGCAAGGCCTCGCGGTCAAGAAAACAGAACCATCTCGACCATTATCAGCAAAAGGCCTTCGAGATCGAAAAAGATTTTAACTACTCCTCTTCGTCTATATCCTCCGAGGGCACAGAAAGACAGTCGCTGGATAGGAATCACCAGCATATCTCCTCTCCAGCCAAAATATCGCTCGCTCGACTCATTGCAAATGATGCTGCTGAAGCTGATCGCCTGCTACTGGCATGTAGGGAGCTCGGTGGCTTCTACTTAGATCTAACGGCAGCAGACCTGGGTGAGGATGTTATGTCCGATGCAGACAGGTTATTTGGCCTGGGAAGAGATGTCTTCAATCTTCCAGAAGACGAAAAGAGGGAATATGATATGGTCAAGTTTGGCGGATACTACGGGTAAGTAAGAGATCTACATATATCGTGTCTGCCTAGTATTATAGTATAGCTAACACAGCTGCCTACAGATATAAAGGATACCGCAACCGAGCACTTGACTTCAAAGAATTCTACACCGTTTCAAAGGACGAGATATTGGGTATTCAATGTCCAACAAAAATCCCCCAACCTCAACCTCAGCCTATACAGTCATCACTCCCTCTAATACAAACCTATATCCGAAACTCCCACGCTATAATATCCCTAATCCTCTCTCGCCTGGCCTCGGCCTTGGACCTACCGCCCGAATCCTTGAAAAACATCCACCGTCGCGACGCAAACAGCGGTGATCAAATACGGTGGATCAAGCTGCAGGCAAGCAAAGAAGCACGCCCGCCGCCAGAGAACGATGTCTTGCTGGATGAACATTCTGATTCAAACAGCGTCACACTGATATTCAACCAATCGGGTGGACTGCAGTTCCGTTCGCCCCAGCCAGACTCTTCACTCCACAACCTCCCCATACCCAGGGAAAATCCAATAATTACTACTACTACGACTCCTACCAGCACGCCTCCCACCACTAATCCCACACCATCTCCGGAACCCACAATGGACTTCTCGGGGGGTCCCAACCTCCCTGCTAACTGGATACCCGCCAACCCTCTACCTGGCCACTGCATTATCCTAATGGGTGAACAGCTCGCCAAACTTACGGAAGGCGGCGTCCGCGCAAACGTACATCGCGTATGTGCTGTGCCCGGCATGCAAACCAGCAACCCTCGGTACTCCCTTGTCTACTTTTCTCGGCCTGAAGATGACGTTATCCTGAAACAACTTGCCGGGATTCCCGTTGTCCCAAGACCAATGACCGCGCACAAAAGCTCGCGTGAGCTTCCGAGCCAGTGCAAGCGAATAGGCAAGGTATTCGAGGGGAAGGAGTGGATGGGGTGGGTAAGGCCATCGTCGCCTCGCTTCAAACAAAAGAGGTAGCTCAATGCGCGAAGACGGATGGCTCTAACTTAAACATATATGCATTTTTTGGTTGTGACGATCGGTAACGAACGATGTAATGGAGGAATGTGCGCATTTCTTAGAAAGTCGATGCCCAGGTGGAACTGTTCTATTCTTGTTGATATTATTACTGTCATATTATTACTTTATGGATACTTGAGGCTATTTGGAGTTACTTTTTTTTAACATGGTTGATATACATGGAGTACATGCTCGCGTGTACTAAAAGGCTTTTTTATAGACATGTCCTTAGGTAGATTGTTTTTGCATAAAAGAATATATTATTAATCGTGGTCATATCCGAATGGAGAATTTCTTCTGTCTTAAGTCTACATTAATATCTCATATCTTCTCGAGTAAAAAAGTCCTCCATACATAACTTGGTTCTTAAAACCGTGGTGGCCAGGCCAAGATGCATGGCAGGGACGGGTATCGCGAGCATCTCTCTCTTTTTTAATTTTTTTTTTTTTTCTTATCCCATGAACATCATAAACAGTGGGGTATGTAGCGAACAGCGAACATGGGTTGGAGGGCCATTTTTAATTTCGCTTTGCAATCCGATTCCCTCAACCACAGCAAACGGTGATCTCACATGCGTCGCTTGAAAGGAATCTCGTTAGCCAGACCATGCGCGGGCGACAGGGCAAGATATTTTGACTATTTTTAGGGGGGGAAGAAAAGGTTAAATAATGGGGATCGATCAAGAACTCACCTTTTATCTTTACTCTTCCAAGAGAACACAAAGTGGCCCAGGAATGCTCCAATGAGAATGCAGATGATGAAAAACCCATTGTAGTACATGGCCAGCAACATCACAAAATATGCTACTCCGAAAGTTACCATATGCAGCAGGGATCGAAGCGTGTGCTGCAAGAGCGTTGGCGAACGTCGTCCTCCCACGAGCTTGGGTGATCCATTGGCATCCGTCGGCTTGGAGCTGGTAGGATCATCGGTGAATTCACTGCCTACTGGATGCGAGTTTGCAGCAGCCATGGCGGAAGTTCCGAAGCCGAGTTTGTTAAACAGAGATGGTTGGCCCGCAATGTGTTTATCAAACTCGCGTCCTAGACGACGGAGGAACTCGAGAGACATAACAAGGAGGATCACGCCGATACATGAGCCGGCAAACATCCCCCTGGACGTAATTCGCCATGTCGATGAGATGAAGCCTATCCCGTCACATCGTAAGAAGGTTGCTCGTGATAAACCAGGATCTGTTAACAGAGAAAAGGGTGCTCACATGCGTCGATGACGTTCCAGTTCCAAAGCATCTAAAATGTTTATATGAGCAGGGGAAGCTAGTGGTTTGATAGACGCGCAGGATGAGGATGGACTTACAGATATCTTGCACTGGCCCATACCACCGTGACTCCCATGGTTCATGCCGTGCGCTCCATGATCCATTGCAGGCATGGAATGCCCTCCATGATGCATGTCATGGGCACCGGTCGGCATGGGCATGTTGCTGGTCATGGTCATGGTCATGTCCATCTTCGCAGGCTTTGTACTTTGGTGAGTTACTTGTATGTGTGCGCGTGTTTCGACTGCGAGCAACCGGTAGGTAAATAGGTAAATGAAAGAAAAAAGAGAAGCCGGCCGCCAGGAGAAGTTATACACAATATGTACGTTGGTGGCTGGCCGGCTATACTTATATTATAGCCTTTTTCTCTTATGGATTGATCATTATTGGCGTGACCATCGAATAAAAAAACAGGACAAACAACCGCCTGCGCCAACTCCACCGCACCGATAGCTAGCGAGTTAGTTAGAGAAGGGAAAAACCAAACGTGCGAAAACATGCTCAAACATGCTCGGCTGCATCTTCAACGCCCATTGAGCTAGAAAAGGCGCTCCGGAAGCCGACCTGGTCGCACAAAGGGCGCCGTGGTCGAGGCAGGACAGACGGCTCGCTGGTGACTAGATAAAGATGCAGCTCGGCAACCCTGGCTGGACCTCACTGAGGCAGAAGAAGTGGGCTAACTAGCCGGCTAGTTAACGCACGCCCTTCAGAGCACCATGTTGCAGCATGATCTCGCTTGGTCGACTCGACGGTGCCGCCGCCAGCTCCCATCTGCCATGTATGATGTAGTTGACATAGACGACGTCGACATAGCGGCGGCACAGAGCGTTTAACTATCGTCATTGACGTCCGTATTGGGCGTAAGCTGGCTGGCGGCTGGAACCTTAAGCGACGCGGGCGCAGAAGGGGTATCACGTGATCAAAACTGTGCCGGGCCCGGCCTCAACTCACCGACAGCTACAGAGCACACGCATTCACCATCCATCAGAGACATCGTGCAGAGACGGAGCTGGAGGAGAAACCGGGCATAGCAGTGCTCCTTATAGACCTGCCGCCGAACACCATGTCGCAAAAGAATCAGCAGAAGGCGTCTCCGGGGGTCCTTGCTATCAACCCGGCGGCGACGCAGAAAGCTGCTCCTCCGCCCACACCCAAGGGCCACTCCAGCAAAGGAAATGCCCCCCGCCTAAAGCTGCATGTGAGACGTCTGCCCCCCGGCCTGACACAGGCTGAGTTCGAGACAACGCTGGGAGACTGCTGGAAAGTCGGACGAGGGAAAGTTGACTGGTTTCTCTTCAAGGAGGGGAAGGTTTCTACCGAGTCAGTGTTCCGTATTGACCAACGCCTTTATCTATATCTAACAGCGGTGTCTTTCTTGAACTTTTTTTAGCCCATCGAAACCATCACGTCCCGGAAGGGCGTATCTACGAGTTACCTCGTCAGTAACTATCCCCGAACTCTCGGATGTGATCCGCCAAACCACATTCCACGATGCACGAAATACCTACAATGATTCCGCCCTACTTGGACCACCGACCCTGGAATATGCCCCATTTTCCCGCGTGCCTAGTGGAAAAGTTCGAAACGATGCTCGTGTAGGCACTATCGACCAGGATGCCGAATTCATAGCCTTCCTCGAGAGTTTGACCAACCCAGTCACCAAGCCGTCCGAGGAAGAGACGACCGAGGCAGCAGATAAAGTGGAAAAACCAACGATCACCCCACTCATCCAATATCTAAGAGAGAAAAAGGCAAACAAGGCAAAGGAGGTTGCTGCTGCAAAAGCAGCTAAGCAGGCCCGCTCAGCTGCTGCGAAAGAGAGCAAAAGTGAAAAGTCGATCGGCAAGAAACAGCTCCTCAGCCGTGCAGACAAGTCAACTTCGGAGAAGCAGAAAAAGGACAAGGCAGCCAAGGATGTTGCAGTCAAGGATGCCGTAAAGGCCGCGAATAAACAGGCTGCAAACGGATCTGCCAAAGCTGAAAACAAAGCTCTTGCAAGCTCTGTCAATCAGCCATCCCAAGCGTCTCCAGCACCAGAACGGAAGAGAGAAAGGGGAAGCCTCACTGCAGCTACCAAAATATTACGACGTGATTTGGGTCTCACTACACCTACACGAAGAAGGGATAAGGCTGGTCAGGCTTCTTCTTCTGGCCCGGGCGGTAACGCTACAGCAGAAAGTGCAAAAAAGGACCAACAACCATCAAGCTCAAAATTAGAATCTGATAATCCTGCCCCCACCCCCAAGGGGAAGAACGCCGCCGATTCTACGCCCAAGTCTGCACCGAGCAAACAACCTAAGGGTACCCCACCCGCAGAGCCAGCAGCAGCTCGAAATAATGCAGCTGGCAAGAAGGCAGCAACTACTCCAAGTACTCCAAATACGAAGGCGTCATCAACTCCTGCGGCCCAAAAGAGCCAACAACAGTCTTCTCAATCACCATCATCAAATGGAACGCAGGCATTCCTCAAACACGCCAATCCCTCCCAAGGAGTAACGGAAGATCTCCTCCAGAAAGGATTCTCACAGTTTGGCAAAGTCATACGTGTAGAAATTGACAAGAAGAAAGGCTTCGGATACGTCGACTTTGCCGAGCCGGCAAGCCTACGGAAAGCTATTGATGCAAGCCCCGTGTCTATCGCCCAAAGTCAAGTAGTAGTGCTGGAACGGAGGACATCTGCCGCTGTAGCACAGAACAGAGGTCATGGCAACCGTGGCGCCGGCACAGGCGGCGGTGGTGGTGGAGGAGCAGGGCAGGGTCCAACTCACGCGAACACCCAACAACAGCCATCACAGCAAGGGTCGAGACCAGCACAGGCCGGATCTTCACCTACAGCTGCAGCTGCACCTCCACCTACAACATCTCCTGCTTCTCGTGGAACTCCGGGTCCTCGTGGTAGAGGCAGTCGAAGGGGTTACGGCCGTGGAGGCGCTGGAGGACGTGGTAAATAGTTTCCTTCATAGCCGATTCTCAAGCGATAGCATACATAGCTCTTCTCCCACAATTACGAATCAGCATAAATGGAGATGCAAATCTCCATCATTTACACACAAATTTCGAAACGACAAGCCTACATCTTCTACAAACAGCGAAAAAAAAAAAATTTTTTTTAACAAATTTCCCATTAAATTCTACTAAGCAGTTATAAACTAAACAACAGACATCCCACTCTAACAACTCAAGGGTGAATAGAACCTTTCAGACCTCCTCGACACCCACCTTGCCAGGCCGACCGAAGTCAGACGCCACGACGAGGTAAAGATCATCACCACTCTCTAAATCAGCAGGATGAGATTCAATCAAACACCGAAGCATTGTCAAGTATCATCATCACTGTCGAAGTATAGGCGAGAGTAAAAAAAGGCTTCACTTTAGGGCATCGAGGACATTAGGGTCATCAGCAAGGTTGGGACTCTTGTCGCTTTCGTAAAAACTACAGAGTAGGGTCGTTTACTATAGAAATGCTGTTGGAAAGAGAACAGTTAGTTATCATCATCATGAAGATCAACGTGTCAAGCTAGAGGGTGACATCGTGTGGTGGAAAGCAAAATGTGTACTCACATTCTTTGAAGTAAAGTCGACTGGTTTTCAGAAAAGGGTTGAAGGGAAGAAGAGCCTTTTATACCTTTTTCAAACCGCGCTAACGCTAAGCGAGGATTCAAAATTTTTTCATTTTTTCCATTTGTGCCGAGGTACGGAGTAACTTCCAGCCAATTACATCATGGTTATGTAATAATTATATAATAAAGTGCAAACAAGACAAACAGCTTCGGATAAAGCGCTCGGACAAAGTTAAGGTTGAGGTCGGATAAACCGCGCGGGCCGAAGTAAGTCCGAAGTTACCCTTGGCACCTTGAACCTTTTTTTGTGAGCAACCATCAACCATGATGAAAATTATATAACGTTTTTTAACTATTGAAAAAGCAACAGATCGGGCTACGACATCGTGTGTGACAAGCATCTCCATCAGCAGCCGATACGGGCAACGGAGATTGCCGGCATGGCTGTCTGGATATGTGCCACCGATCTGCGGTACACAACATTCAGCCATCACCGTTGTGGCAGTCGGTGACGGTGATATCCCAAATTCAGGAAATGAATGCAAACGCCCCAATTCTCAGCTCGTGGATAGCTACAGTATGGCTAGCTGCATGCATTCGAGTATGCATGCGTCCATATGCGTGATGGAAGTGCTTCTTACATCAGATTTGTTATCCCCTTGGGCCCTGTGTTTTTGTTTGCCTTTACTGTTAGGTACGCCGCAATTCTCGTATAGCTAGCTCGGCTATCGATCCGGAGGAGTTGAGATGCCATTCGTATTTCGCTTCTCTCGTGTTGGATACCCTTACCTATGGTAGTAGTGGGATATGAGAATAATATGCATCGTGGAATTAGCTGCTACAATGCCACATGCGAACATAGGTAACCATGTTAATACCCTGATCCTCGCCATTGTGTGAGATGTTGGAACCAGAGGAAGACTACTTATCCTGGGTCTGATGGCTTCATTTGAGCATCAGATTCCCTCAAAAAAAAATTCCCCCTCTCGTCGTGGTGTGTGTATACTCTTTCTTCGACCATACCATCATGGACCCGCTCACATTGTGCCTTTTACTGTTTAACTTTTACTTCTTGGTGACAGCGACGGAATATCGCAGAGATATTCAGGGCTCCATTACAGTTTTGGATTCTACTGTCTCTCTTTTACCTAGCAAAGCTCAATTTCTCTCCGGTGAGGGAGATTTTGATTCTCCAAAGCTTAACTTTGTGAACGAGACCGTCTATGACTGGTGGTATTTTGACGCAGTATCAGATGATGGAGAATCTTCCATAACCGTTTGCTTCTTTACAAGCTCCTCTACTGCATTTCCTTTCCTGCTGCCTAACAAGGGAATCCTACCTGTCTATATATGGGCATCCTTCCCCAATGGGACTGTGTCGGTATATGCGGTCCACGCCCAAAAAGCGGTTATTGAAACATCTAGAGATGGTTACGCAGGTATTTACCACCCTATACAAATGGGATGGCAGGGCTCTGCAGATCTTTCACGATACCGTATATTCTTTAACGATACAATTCATGAAATCAAAGGCACATTTGATATCAGATCTGTATGTCCCAATCCTCAGCCCATGGCATTTTACTAGCACTTACGTCGACGTTTGATAATTAACTTCAGCCATATTCAGGTAGCGCCACCACATTACCCATGCAGCGCCGCGTCTCGGAATGTGGATGTGCAAGTTTGCCCACATGTTGGGTGGGCCAACGCCATACCCGATGGCAATGCATCGGTTGACATGACAATCGCAGGGTCAAGGCTCCGGTTTCATGGTTCCGCATATCATGATAAGGTAAGCGTGTTGTGGAAGCCAGCCACTTCAGCCAAACCAACCCTCAACACCCTTCGTTTGCTCCTACTGATCTATGATGTATTCATTCGAATATAGAACTGGAGTGATGTGCCGTTCACATCGACAACAAAAACGTGGTATTGGGGCCGTACTCGCATTGGCCCATACTCAGTCGTTTGGTTCTATGTGCTTCCTCCCCAACATACAGAGCACGCTAGTGCTTACATTGCCAACAATAGAAAAATACGCCATGCTGCGTGCGCCGGGGCAATAATTACGCCCATACTAAATACAAATGCCCGTTTTGCTCCAGACACTTTACCCATCGGGTTTCGTGTTGAATTCAACTCTCCTGAAGAGCGTTCATCTCTGGTTAATATAACCGTATTCAACCGCCTGATAATCGCTTCTGCTGGGCCATCGTATACACGATGGATTGGAAATTCGACCGGATGCGTGATGGGGGATTGCGGGCTGCAAGGACTTGGGACGCTTGAGCAGTTCCAGTTATGATCCCACCATCTCGGTAGCCCCAAATGTTTAACTATCTTTGCGCCAAATTGTTGGTTCTTCGTTTCGTTTCTAACCATACTTCGTCTAAACAGGAATGGTTACATATCTAGACATTATTACTAGGTATAATAAGACATGAGACTTTAAACCCATGACTAAATATGTCAGGAAATCCTAATAACTCCGTTATAACGACACTGAGTAGTTAAAGACAGGATAAAACCGAACAACGGGGTAGTATCACCACACAGTTTTCGAAAAAGCACTCAAACACCAAAATTGGGCAACCAAAAGAATGCAAGCTATGTTTGCTAATTAAATGCGGCCGCAGAAGGGAATGTCAAGAAGAAAAAAAAAAAAAAAACATTTTTATGTATCACACCGCTTATGTGGAAAGTGACGAGGCATTCGAGAAAATGAGGTCAGGCTTGTAGGAAGGGGAGAAACGAAAGTCCAAGGGATGAAGACTTAGGGGAATGGTGATTAAAATGATATAGATCGTAGAGGGTTGGTCATACAAGTACGGGAGCAATCAATGAAGGTAAAAAGCAGCCGCCCATGTAGTTAAATGAAATAGTAGTGAAATGAAGAACTAAGCCGCCTCTTAGCTTATTGCAGGGAACAAACGAAATAGCCTCACGGAAGATGATCAAGTGAGAAATTATATTCCACCATTACTACCCTTGCGCGATCCAGTTGCGGAAGGGGGTGTGGCGCTGCTTCCATCGTCGTCCTTCGCAGAATGAGATGCCGAAAAGGGTGCCGATGATTCAGATTTTATAATCCTTGAGTGGTCACTTTCAGAATGGGGGTCCTTGCCGCAACCCTTGACAAGTATATGTCTCTGTGCAAAATAAGGATTAATACCATGTTTATAGCTCAAGAAGGAAGAAAAAGGGCAAGGATACGTAAAACATACCTTAAGAGCATCCTTTCTCGAAAAGCTTTTGTCACAGTGGTTGCAGGGGAATGGCTTAACAGCCAGATGAATGCGCTTATGTCGTTTTAGGTCATGATTTCGATTAAAACTCTGCTGGCAAGTGTCACATCTGAATGGTCTATCATTTTGAGGGCCTGGGGGGCCAAGTCCATGCATATGATGAGCTTGTGGATGCTGATGCGTATACATTTGCTGTAAGCTAGCAGCATGCCCACTGTTGAATGTAGGAAGGATGTTAGGCTGCATAGAGCCTATCAGAGCCATCTGGCTAGATGGGTGATGGACATTACTCATCACGGGGCCATTCATGGCTGGAAGGTTGTATGAAGGGTATGGGCGGGTGTATTGGGGGAGGGGTTGCTGGCCTTCGACTGGAACTTGTACCGGTACTCCAAGTCTCTGGGAGCTGTCACTGACAGAAGTCTGGCTCATGGACATTGAGGCACCCGGATAAGGCTGGAAACTAGAAGGGTGTTGTGGAAGGGGTGATTGTTGTGGGCCTGGGTAACGGAAACGGTGTCCATACGGGTCCAGCGGCGACTGCTGTTGGGAAGCTTGAGGTGATATATGGCCAGAATTTGCCTGGGAATCCATTAATGTTTGTGCCATTGTTTGGGACGAGTGTTGTTGTGACTGGTGTTGATCGACCTGGTTGGAAGGATGCTGCTGAGAGTCTTGTGATTGCGAATGATGTTGTAGTTGCGAAATCGGTGGTTGCGAAGTCCCCGAGGAAGGGGGGTAAGGGGATATCGGACTGTACTGGGACAGCCCGTCTGTAGCTGTTGATGGGGGAATATTACGACCTTCACAGTCGCGTTAGTTATGCAAGTTTCAAGTATCCACAATTCAACAGAATTTTGGGGCCCTACCAGCGTTGAAGGGAAGAGATGGGACACCGGGCCAGTATGCAGGACTGCTCTGCCCAGTGGAACCAGAAGTACTGGGAGCCAGGTTTAGTGAGAACGAGTTTGGTCTGTCTATCTGTGGTTTAGAAGCGAGCCCGATGGATCTCTTCTGACCCCTCGGAGGTGAAGATGGGGCGTTTGGGCTATAGTATTTTGAAGAGTTGGTCGGTTGAGGCTGCAACGGTTGCGGGTTGCTACGTTCAAAGCTTGGTAGTATTGTATCGTTTGACTGAGTAAACTGCTGATGTGGATGGAACACCGCCCCCATTCCGGGCGGGGATACGGCAAGAGCAGCCACGGTTGCAAAAGGCCCTGTTCGGTTGTGAGGCTGACGGACCAGCGAGATGTCTCTTGGTCAAGGCTCCTGGAAAGACGTTGGATATGTTATTTGGTACAATAGTTGATGAAGGGCTACCATGCAACCAGGTGGTCAATTTAATAAACAGAGATGCACAGATCGAGCTGTAAGCCGTGTATAAGGTATATGTGGAGTTGTGAGAGTGATGTTCCTGCGCCACGCCGAAGAGCAAATCAACATTCGGGTGTAAGAAACTTCCAGGTGAAAAATGAGGAAACCGTTTCTGGATCACCTAGATCCTTAATAATGCTGCCAAAGATCGGTGAGGCTGCTTCCCCGAGTAATATTTTCGGTGTTGAGCTAAAAAGCAAGCTATTCAAACATTATCTTTAATCCACCAGCCAAAAGCGGTTAGAGATAAATCCACTATGTGGTTGAATATGCAGAGCTGGGGGACTGTGGCCCAGGAAAATGGAACGCAAAACCTCCCTGAAAAGAAAAGGAATAATTCCCCGGATTGGCTGTTGATGTGGAAGGCACTTGTGACAACACAAACGTTTGCTTTTGGATGCAAACAGAAAGAGGAGCCTCAGGACGCTCTTAGCAGCATCACGCGTCCAGCTGAAATAATATCAGATCAGAAAGTGAGCCGAAGTTCTGTCAACAACCAGTCCACGTTGATAAATTCTGCTGCTGGAGGTAGTCTAGCGCAAGTTGGGGTATTAATTCATTAATTATCTAGAGGTCAAAGTCAATGACGAACGTAATCGAGAAATTCGTTTGCATAGGATCGACGGTGGCAGAAGGGGGGGATGGACTCAAGATGTATACCTTGAATGGATTCGGATCCAAAAGTTGATAAAGAATCGGGAGGGTGGAGTTGGTGGGACGGTGATCAGTTGGTAGCGTCCTCCATAGACGCTCCGCTGGGCACAATGGGTCCTGACCTGGCAGCTTGACAAATCAAATAGAAAGATGGCGACGCAAAGCTTTTGCACGATGTTTTTGTCAGGTCTTCAAAATGTCCTCTTCCTAGGTATGTCCCTTTTGTTTTTCCCACTCCTCAGGAGTTTGCGACGTGTCTGGTAGGACAAGCCCCCTGATGCGTGGGTGGCAAAAGGTAATGGATTGGGTATCGTGCTGGCCTATCGATAGTAAACAAAGGAGGTGAAGGCGGGTTAGGGTCAGCTTCCCATAAAATGGGATGCTGGGCCAGGGGGAACTGTAAAATAAATAAGCTGAAGGTGGGAAGAAAAAATAGCAGGTGCTAGTCGAAATAATCCCGGGCCCAGATTGTATAAATGGGGCGGAGAGCAGGTAAATAAGAATAAGAAGCAATTTGGTTGAGGAAGGGATAAGTCACAAAAAAAATTAAAAAATAAAAACACTCTTATCACAAGAAGAAATAAAAGGTGACAAGGGTGAAAGGTAATGTCGTTGTTTTCGGGGACGTCTCCAGCAACCAGTCAAATAACAGGAAGAAACGAAAGAGCTTTGGATAAATTTGTCGATCCCCTTTTTTTATCGATCGACTTGCTCGTACTGCAGGAGAGAAACTAATAGCGGATATGTTAGGAACTCTGACGAAGGCGATCAGCTCTGAGGTTGGGGGTGCAGCAACAGGCCAGATCAAGGCCCCCTTTTTTCCCCTTTCCCCGTACTCTGTACAACGCATTCATCGACAGCGGGATTGCTTGATGATGTACAGTGTATGTTCCCCATAGCCTGTCTTCAACGGAGAACAACTCTGCCTATCCCAATCCAAGTAGTTACGAAGGGTGGTCAGGTTGACTCTTGACAGCGAGGCCATCGAAAAAGCATTTCACACGCGACAGCCCAGTCTTCTTTCAGCCTAGGACTTTTTGGGTTCAATTCCTCTCTCGTTTATTCAGTTCCAATCACGTCGTGCCTTGCTTTGACAGAGAGGATTGGCCACAGAACAACGAGCGTGGGCCAAAGGGAGATTTTTTGGTAACGACATGGATGGGGGAGGCCTTGACTGGGCTCCCAAGGGCCTCCTTCCGCGGGTCCCACTGTGGTAGTGGGCCAGAGGCTGGTGCTTATGCAGAGAGAATGGGACGGATCGCACCCATCCGTCTGTCACTGGCGCAGGATGTGGATGCGCCTTTTCCACTAGTACATGTCTGTGTGACCGCCCTTGTTCTCGTCCTTCGACGATGTTGGTGGATCGGCTCACGCAGCGCGTCCAGCGCAGGAAGCGTCGGCAGGCGGGCGGGGCAGAGCGTAAGAAATGGCGAGAGTTAATGCAGCAGGGTTCAGGGATGCGTGGTCAAGGGTGGTAGGATGGGATGCTGCGGTCGACGCTAAGAGGGAGACCATTCGCCTGCAGACGGCCTCGATCAACAGCAGTTTCGCTGAATTGGCAAGACTTGGCCCAATAGTGGTTGGGCGTCACCTCTCACACCAGAGAAATCGGTCGAACCAAACGACCGCAAAGGTTATATCGATCTAGTAAAAATCAGCGAGGTCGTCAACTGGTACTTCGTACAAAAAAGAAACGGCAGTGGTCACTGTAAATCCAGTATGCTGCATGATGTACCTATCAATCATGTCACGGGCCCGGGGAGTTTAGGAACAGAAAATAAAGAAAAGAAACGACAGCAAAGATAGGAGAGGCAGAGGGAGGGAGGGAGGAAAGCTAAAAGCGCCAAATGCATAACGGTTTTAGCATTAAGACTTCATCCTCCCAGGTTGTTGCGAGATATAAAATATAGTTGAGAGAGTCAAGCAGGTCGAGCTGCAGCTCACCACTCATGCATATTTTCCTTCGCATGCCCCCATGTAACAGACATATTAAGGAGCTCAGGCTAGAATCACTTCTATCAAGGAGCTTCACCGCAACAGACGTCCTCGATTCCCAACTGGAGTGTTTCACGGTTTGGCCATCCCTGGAAAACAACCACGAGCTCATCCTTATCCATCTTCGTTGGGCTGAAACCGGTTTATGTCACTTCCAGCGTATACTCTGCATGTACGAAGTACTCCATGACCGACTCGGACACGCTGTCGTATTCCTCGATCCCTTAGTTATGTCATTCATCCATTTTCGCCTTCCCACTTGGCCGATACGTTGGCACCCCACGGAAGAAGCGAGCTTCAAGCTGCAAGCAAGCTTCACTCTGACAGAGGGTTGGCAGGCAAAGTCTCCCGATTCTGGGGACTAACCACGCCCGAAATATGTAGGCTGGAGGTAATTTTTTTTAAACCCTTGCATGGCCATGCTTGCTGGCTGACATTGGTCGCTGGTGGCGCGCACTCTTATTGGGGCACGATCCGTCCTCCATACAATTTAATATTGTCCCATACTTTTTTGTGGATAAAAATAACATCTGGGATGGATACTTGTCCCTAGAACCTGGATGACCCCTGATTAATAAATCAGATACATATATTCCGAGCTTCGGATACGTATGTATGTCCCTTCGTACTCCAGAGATACGATCTCAGGATGAATCCACCCAAAGATCAGGGACCATCAGCCGATATCGAGCTTCACACAAGGCTGTCTTAGGGCTGAACTAAAACGGCTGCATGTTGACTCCAGCCCTTGGGTCAAGATACATACTTACATGCTCCATACCTACCCTTGCCGAATCGCCACTACCACGAGGTAAGTAGGACACCAGCCGTGCCAGAACCAGCCTCAGCCTCAGCTCGTGAAGCACCCAGTGCTGCGTAACTTGCACAGCCAGCATCGGAAATTATCCAGAAGGTAGGTAAAAATGGGTGTTGTCAGACTCTCGGAAGCGCAACACGCGCCGTACAGAGCAATATCCGTGGATTCTCAAAAGAAACAATTTTCTTCGGAATTGTCACCAGTTCCCGGTTTTCTAGCCTCGCGGTTGATTTCATTCCTTTTTCTTTCTCATCCCTATCTTGGAGTTAACACGTTTGGCCGTTCAGTTGTCAGAATGTGAGTGACTAGTCATCTTACCTATCACTTTATAGACCCATATACTCTTTTTCTCTCGGTTGTTATATAGGGGTAGAACGGAGTTATTTAACTAGTTAGTGGGCCCGGCCATGGAAAAAAATCGGCATTTCAATGTTTCAGTCTCCCCTGCGAAAATGTGGTGATATTGTTGCGCGTCCCTTTATTCCCCTTCCCCTGGTTGTTGTTCTGTTCGTCGTCGTCAATTCGATGGTTTGACGTCGTCGGTTGGAATAAGAAATTGTTTGTGTCAGCCCAAAGAGGAAATTTTGACCTTCTGCCGTAAACGTCGTTGCTCAACTGCCGCTACGTCCAGCACAGCCCCAAGCGATGCGTTTCCCGTCTTTTTACCTTTCCTTATCTCGAAGGGCATATTTTTACCGGCTGGACGCAGCGAGTAGAGAAGATATATCCGTACCCTCGTCTAAGTGAAGCTCTGTGACTGAGGAAGACGAGTTCGCAAGCGAACTGGTGCATTGCCTCCCTCCCAAACCTGCTATTAGTAGCTAGCTGTTACAGGGTCAGGCTGAAGTACATACTTTCGTCAGGGCGATAGAGAGCAACCTCCAACGACCTCCAAGTCCTTGGAGGAGCTCTGGCCTTTGGAGGTAGGCCTTTTGTCGTTTCAGCGAAGCAAATTGGGCGGATGTTAAGTTAACATTCAATGCCAGCTTCATGCCCAAATATTGCCCAAATACCCATCTGCTTTAAAGCTTATAGCCGGTCAGCATTCAAGGAGATCATCATAAGCACTCAAAAGTGCAAGGCGTCAATGTCAACGTCAACGTCTGCCAAACCCGATGTGAATACGTCACACCGAATAGTCATCTTACGAAGGCTGATGGAGGAGAGAGTACCGGGCGATGGGTATCCATCTCTGGCTATCATCATGAAGTGCATTATTGACATGAATGGATTGAACCATCCATTAACTCCCTTAGCCCGGGGAAATAGTTATAACTAACTACTGCCAAGCCCTGCATATTATTATGAATCAGATGCAGTTTACCAAGTTTGGGAGTGGCATCTAGAAAGCTGCTACTGCCTCTTATGCAGACTTCAATTTGTGCGAAAAGATGGCGTGTTGGTTACACTGGATGGCTACTGTGTTATGATTCGATAGAAGGTCGTAATCTGGCAGCAATACGACTGGCGCCCTTCCACTTGTAGGAGGGAGAAAAGGATATGCATGATCCCTGTAGTTCGTCCCCAGGCATCAGAGTATATGTACCCCCAGCTTCCAACCTCCTCAAGTTATTTCCAACAGATGCGCTTCGCTCCATCTAACCTGGGGATAAACAAACCACCAGAATGATAGCTCTCCCTGTGCGTATACTCTCATTGGCAGCTGGTTTGGCAATAATTATATATGTTTCTTCATGCATATGGAATGTCTTCGCTCGTCGCCAGGTCGCGCGCCGTCATGGCTGCCAACCAGTGGCAAGATCCTCGAATAAAGACCCTTTCCTAGGACTTGATGTTATACAACGAGGAGTCCGGAACTTCAGAGAACACAAATCCCTGGAAAGAATGGCTGGGAATTTTTACAAGTTCGGAAATACCTTCCGATTGAAGGTGTTCACAACTCCCGTCATCGCCACTATCGAGCCAGAGAATATCAAGTCCATCCTAGCGATCAATTTCAAAGACTATGGAGTCCAGCATCGCTTACAAGTACTCGAGCCTCTTTTAGGCAGAGGCATTTTCGACACGGATGGCGACCATTGGGCCATATCTCGAGCCCTGATCCGGCCCAACTTTTCCCGCGATCAGGTGGCAGACCTAGCCATGTTTGAGAAGTTGATCCCAGACTTATTCGCATTGATACCTCGAGATGGAAAGACTGTAGATCTACAGAAGCTTTTCTTTCGCTACACTACAGATTCTGCCACCGAATTCTTATTTGGAGAATCAGTCGGAACTCTTAAAAAGCCGCAGCCGGAGTTTGGCTTCAGCCATGCCTTTGACTATTCTTTGAAGAATATTCTCCATAAGATTAGGCTGGGGCCACTAGGCCTGCTTTACTATGACCCGAAAGCAAAGGAATGCAATAAGATTTGTCGTGAGTTTGCGCAGCAATTTGTCGACAAGGCGGTTCTCACAGTCGAATCCGACAAAAACAGAGACCAAGAAGACTCCAAGGCAAACGGCCAGAGATATGTGTTCCTTCATGAACTAGCATCACGTACATCCGACAAGCGCCGTATCTTGGATGAGGTTATGAACGTGTTTGTCGCTGGACGTGATACCACGGCCAGTCTTCTGAGCAATATGTTTTTTGTACTGGCTAAGCGTCCAGAGATATGGGCAAAGATCCGTACAGAGGTATCTAGTCTCAATGGCCGAATGCCTACGTACAATGAACTACGGAACCTGAAATATGTCAGGTATTGCTTGAACGAGTGTGAGTGGGGCGGACTATAGCTATCAGTTCCAAGTTACGGAGTATTTGCAAGTCTAACTAGCCTTTAACAGCGTTACGTATCCATCCCGTTGTACCGACAAACGACCGTATCGCTCTGCGAGACTCCATCCTTCCGATGGGAGGAGGTGAAGATGGTAACTCTCCAGTCTTCGTGCCAAAGGGAACCATAGTCAACTATAGTATATACGCGATGCACCGGCGGAAAGACTTCTACGGGCCTGATGCAGATGTATTCCGTCCCGAGCGCTGGGAAGATGGACAACTCCAGCCTCGCTGGGAGTATTTACCCTTTAATGGCGGACCACGAATCTGCATAGGTCAACAGTACGCGTTGACCGAAGCGGCCTACGTTACCGTCCGTATGGCCCAAGAGTTCAAGACTCTGGAGAGCCGAGACCCAGAACCCTGGGTAGAGTCATTAACACTGACAATATGCTCCTTGAACGGGACGAAGGTGAGCGTCATCCCTGCGTAGCCTGAATATCCCGAAAGGAATGGAGATGTTACTATCAGCATGGTTAGCTATCCACCGTCTCAACTCCCTCGTTTCCCAAGTACTTGTAGTTAGGTCGATGTCAACACTCAGCTCTTGCCAAGATACACACGTTCCTAACCTGAAAAATTGATCCAATCAACTTACGTAAAAAATAGAAATTCACTTAAAATTTTGAGATTTGTTATTTTATTGGCTCAACAAGCTAGGTTAATTTATTAGTCATCAAATGTATCAAACTATAATTAACGGCGAGACGCAAGGAGAACAAAATTCATACTATTGGGGATATTTCCGAATCCCTAGGATTATATTCAAATACATATCCTGCATGCGATGATATGTACCTTCCAATATCCCGTCTGGACCAAATAATGCCGCTCGGTATGCATCTTTCATAACCAGCGCCGTCTGGATAACATGCATCGCCATCTCCGCAATAGCAGCTCTATCCTTCTGGGCCTCGCCGGCGTCCATCTTCTTCCAAGCCGGATATTCAGTGATAGTAGCAAGGATGTCGAAGGTTGTGAGAAGTTCTATCGGGCCACTCTTCACAATTTCCATAGCTGACTCGAATGTGACACAATAAGCACAAAGGAAATCGTGCTTGAACTCAGCTACATCCGGCATTCCCTTTTCTGCTGCATAAAGGATTGCTGCTACATCATCGACGATGTCACCTCCGTGGGTGAGTTCGTGCGTAACTCTCTTAGCTACCATTTGGTTTTCACCAGGGATTATATCTTCGATTTCAGAAGCGGAGGATTCTGTCTCATCTTCCATCTCCTCGTCAGAGTCCTGGCCATTGTCTCCATAGGCAAGATGATTTCGTCTCTGGAGTATTCGAATACGCCACGCTGGAGTCTTTTTGTTGATGTACTTGACAATTCGCTTCAGGTCTTGAACTCGGGACTTTGGTTCGGGGTATGCTATGGGAACCGATGGAAGGACGACTCCCTGCCTGGCAATCTATATCAAAGGGGGGTCCTAGTCAGTTGCAATAGGGAGAAGATATCGGGTTGAATATCGACATTCTACAGTGCATACCTCTCTCAGGATTTGGATGTGGAGGTCGTCGACCTCTTTGCTTAGCTGGACATTCCGTTCATGGAGCTGTTCAATTCGGGCCAGCGGTGCAAAAACACCTCGACCCACATTTGGTTCCATGACTTGATGATGTTCAGCTCTTCTATTGTTGATATCCACAGGCGCTTTATCAGGCCCTGATAAAGATAAGCGTTTTTGGGTTTATAGGTGTAAAGCTAAAGCAGGCTCATAAGTGCTGCGTCAGTTTTTATATTGCAGTTCTCGGAATAACCCAGCTGCTTGAATTGAGTGAAGGTCAACCAAACACAAAGAATACTCACAGGATTTATCCTGTATGAAGGCGATGACCACATAGTAAAGGCCGGATATCACCGATGCCCCCAATCTAGTAGCTTCCAGCCAGAAATGGATCCATGGAGCCATACCCACTTTTAGAAGCCGGTGGATACTACTGATTAATGAAGTATTGATTTTGATCTATATGCAGCCTGGGCAGGGAGAAAACGAGAACCAATATGTAGATTCAAAGCGAGTAGACAGAGAGAGTCACTATTTCGTCCGAACTACACCACCTAAAAGCAAGAAAATGAATGGGAAGGATAAACAAAACAAAACAGCATTGCGCACTTCTGCCTAAATGCCCAACCGAAAAACAAGAAGAAACAAAAGATAAGAGCAAAAAAAAACGACGTATTAAGAAAAAGGGGGTTGGTTGGGCATTCAGAACAGACGCGGTTGTATCAATCAATCAAAGCAAAGCAAAGCAAAGCAATCAAATGGAACAAGGAGGGGAAAGGCGTTGACTATAGCAAAAGGTAAGGAAAGGGAAGGGCAAAAAATGATCATAATGAGTCAAGGCGATCTATACGAATTACCGGAATGAAGGTACGCAAAAAAAGACCTGCGTAGCAAAAGAGAGATGGTACCAGAAAGTGGCTAGATGATGGGAAAGGGGGAGGGAGTGGGGCATCGTATTATTAGAAGTAGAGTTGAGTTGGTAATAAAGCCAGAAAAGACGATGCAGTTGGGTGTACCTCTTGTTCAACAAGAGGTATAATAAACCAACTGGGTCTCATCAATCAGTCAACCAAAGAAAAATGGGGGGGCGCGGGAGAGGCGGGAACGAACCAAGGAAAGCAAAGAAATCAAAAGAAGAGATATATAGCGAGGGCGGCTAAAAGGCGGCCCTAAAAAGGTTGAAGAAAAGGTTTTTTTTTTAACAGCCATTGGCCAAGAGCTGGGGCGAACGGAAAGAACATAGTTCATTAAACGTAATGTTCCATCATGGGGATATGCTTTTGAAAATAAAAAATAGCCCCATTGCAAGAACTTCAGAGACGTTTTACCGGGAAATCCGCATTTGAGAAGAGTAAGGAGTCATAATAGCTTGACGCTGGGGGGCGAAGGTGAAATGGGAGTAAAACCGCTTGGCTACAAGCTCATGGTCAACCATTCCCATTCCTGGCTGTTAGTTCTTGTTGCGCCAGCCGCCAAACTGTGGTGAGCTGGGTTGAATGCTGCTGGAGGTTGACGGGGTTGCTGTGGCGGTGCCTGGGTCACTCTTTGTCTGCCTGACAAGTCTTGCTCGGGAGGGTTTCTGACATTGGCGTACATCCCTGAGACTGACGATTTATCAAGACACCGTGGCCGGCCTGGGATGAGTCGTGACGGTGTGCCGGAGGCTGTGGTAGGGGTGACGTTGACGTTGCTGCCGGGCGAAGTGATGGGGAGAGGTTGTCTGGGGGGAGCAGCGGCTATTGGCACGGTAGTTCTTGTAGGCACAGAGCTAGATGTAGGGGTGGTTCCTGTGCTGGAGGGCGTGCTCGAGATTGGAGTCGGGGGCTGGGACAGGGCCGATGGCCGGGTGGGGATGGGGGCCGAAGATACAGAAGTCTGGTTGGTGGAGTTTTTGCGGGAAGTCTTCTTGCCTGCTCTAGCTCCAGCGCCTGCAGCGACGTTGCTTCCTCCACCACGATTGCGTTTTTTGATGACATCCGTCTTGAGAGCGAGGGGCCGTACGACGCCGTGGAGTTTGAGGAACAGACCACAAGCGTTACATAGGAATTGGCCCTCGGCATTACGACGCCAGAGGGGAGTAGTTTGCGTGAAACAGTTGGAGCACGACGTCGTTGCACCAGCGGGTTCGGCGTTCTTCGTGGCACCAGGGCCAGGACTTGCAGGCCGGGAGGGGGAGTTGCTGTTAGGCCCGGAGCTGGGGGAATGCGGTGATTTGAAGCCGCTGTTGTTTGCGTTGTTGCTAGCAGCGATGCTGTTGGTATTGTCACCCCCTTGTCGAAGGAGCTGGGTAGCGTTTGGAGTAGATATTGTGCGAGGGATCTTTTGCCTTCTCGGATCTGGATCGCGGTTACGCAATTCGGTTACAGACGCGGCTGACCCGTGTGTTCGGTTTAGACTTCCAAGCTGAGCCCAGTCACTGCTTCTCTCGTCTAGATCGCCTGCGCCCATCACTAGCGGTTTCGACGGTTGGCTGTGGGCGGACGGCATTGAATTAATGGAGCCGGTATAGCTTCCCTCCCATTGCATACCCGAACCAAAGTTCATAGTAGCGTCGTCGAGTATGCTGAAGTCCGCAGACAGGTCCATGTTACGGTCCAGAAAGACGTTTCCAGCATCCTCTTCATTATCTGAATCTCCGCCAAAGCTGAACACATGTCCCTTTGCCGAAGACAGACTGGTTGACGGCCGAGCAGAAGAGTCAGTCATGGGCTGACAGGTAGATGGGCTAAAGTGTGGTTGCTGCTGCTGCTGCTGCTGCTGTTGCATGCTGAATCCGGACGGGTTGACTACAGAGGACGCTCCACTACTGCCAGCCATGTTGAACGAGTGGTCGTTGCCAGCATGGTGGTACATGTACCGGGATGTTGCAGGGGCCGAAAGGTTCGAGAGCGAATGTGAGTGGAATGAGCCTACCGGGTGTTGGAATGAGGCGGAGTGGTCCTTTTCGAAGCCTGGCTGGGGGGTTGAGACAGCCGAGTGATAGCCTGAGGCCGTTGAGGAGAAGAAATCGGTAGAGTTGATGGAAGAGCCTAGTGGGGTATGCGAATAGAGGTTGGAGAACGCTCCACTCTGGATATGGGACAGTTCTGTGGGGGAGAGCTGGAAGCCGGTGGTGAAGGATGGATGGTCCAGGGCATTGGCAACGTCGTCAACATGGAAGGGATCCAGGTTCAAAGGAGCAGGGTGAGGTGGATGGCTTCCCAGGGTAAAGCTGTGACTATGGCCGTGGCCGTGGCTGTGGCCATGATGGCCCTGACTTTGACTTTGACTGTGGCCGTGGTGATGGTCCAGAGTGAAGTCAGTCATGCCCGCATCAGGATCTGGATCATGGGAGATGATCAATCCATGCACCGGGGGAACATGAGGAGACGACTCAGCTGGTCGTTTTCGGGCCTGAGGTATCATTATATCAGTCTATGAACCGTAACGTATTCATCGTAGTAAACCTGACAAAAAAGACAAAAAAAGAAAATAAAGGAAAGGAAAGCATACGATTCGTTCGTCAACGCTGGTCTTCCTGACTCTGCGCTGGACATAGCCGAACTCGCTGGTCTGAGTCCCAACATGCGGATGATGAGGGAACGAGGCAGGCATGACGATGCCCATGGGAGAGTCCTCTTGCTCCTCCTTTGCATTCCTGATAGGAATTGCCGACGCCACGGCATGCTGGGAGGAAGGATCTTCACTCATCGAGGGAGAGAAGCCCGTAGGCGAGCTGATGGAGGACGATGGAGCCACGAACGAGTCGACGTTCATGGGCTCAGCAGCGGAAGCAGGCTCCTGTGGTCGTTGGGCTTCCTCGTTCTGCTGTCCCAGCCTGCCACAGCCAGTCAATACATCATCATGATTTTTTTTTTAAAAATTTAAAAAAGTAGGAGAAAATGAAAGAATAAAAATAAAATAAAATAAAAATAAAAAATAAAAACGTACCTGGCCTGCGCCTGTTCTCGCTCCTTTTCCTTTCGCAGACTGACGGCCATCATGCGCCAGGTCAAGTTCTCCATCCGCTCCTGGTTCGGCAGCTGGGTCTTGGTCCGGCTGTACAACTTCCATATCTGCGTCGCTAACGGGTCGTTCTTCTGCAGCTCCTCGGTGTTTTCCAGCGCAGTGCCATCTCTCCAGTCCGAGAATACCGACTCGCGGAGCAACCCCCCGCGAGTGACGCTGTCCGGCAGCTTCCGCTCCAGCTTGTCGTGGGCTAACGGGGGCAGCGGAGAGGAAACGGGGACTACAAGGAGGCGCCTCTGCGGTGCCTCTGTCTCTGCGTCTGTCTCTAGGCTCCTGTCTCTAGGCTCTTGTCTCTGCCTCTGGCCGGGCGGGAACTGTGTGTGGGAGTCGCCTTTTGTCACTCTGGGCACTCACTCGCTCGCTCGCCGCTGGTCTCTCTCAACGCAAGCGCAGCCAACGCCCGGTCGTATCGCCAGAATCCGGCTGCAGCAGACAGGAAGGCCGGGCAGCTGAGCGTTTCGAGACGACGGGGGTGTCGGCAGCAGCCTGTCGCTGTCGCTGTCGAGGGGAGGGGAGTCGAGTTTCTCCTGGGGGGAGGGAGGGCTGGAAAGACGGTAGGTATGCCGTCGTCGTATCACTCTCGCTATCAGGAGGCACACACGGATGAGAAGTCCCGGGGCGAAAGGGCGAGCCTGCGTCTATCTCGGAGGCAGCGCCAGTCCACGGAGTCAACGCTGAAATTGGTCGCAGGGGGGGAGGGCAAGAGGGAGTTCCTGTGCTGTCTCGATCTCTCGATCCGACGGTTGTTTTTGTTTGGTCTGGCTGTCGCTGGCTGTCGCTGGCTGGCTGGCTGGCTGGCTCGTCCGTCCCTTTCTGAGTCTTTCAAGAGAACTAACTTTGGCGGACCAAGTGGGAGTTTTTTGCCCACAACATGTGATTTCGGCTCGTAGGGCGAAGAGACGGCAGGCAAAAGAGAGAGAGATTGACAAGATATAAATGATAAAATATATATAAAATTAGCAGGCGACAAGTAATAATATTTTAAACAGGCCAAGTAGGAGCGTCGATGGAGTCGAGTCTGTCGAAGGTCCTCTTTTCTCTTGTCCTTCATGCATGGCCCTGCAGCGGCAGTTGGTTAGCGAGAGTGACGATGCCAGTTAAGCTCCTCGACTAGCTAGTAGTTATTGGTATTATATAGATGTCTATCTAGACGT